TCAATTCCTCGGCAGTCACCAGACCTAGCCATCCCAACAAGCTGCGGCCCCTCAAGGCAGCCCCCCCACAGTTGCCCATAGATTACCTTTGTGTTCTGGTTTCTGCTCAATTTGTAAAGTACTTTTCTTTCTCTCTCTCCCTTCACTTCTCTAAGGCTGCTGTTACCAGGGAGGAAGGGGGGAGAAACAAAGGGGCTGCCTGACTGCAAAGGTTCAGATTACACACACAGACGCTCAATCATACCACACACACAAAGACACAAACACAGAAATTAGACATATAACAAATTGCTGTAAAATCCTTAAATCATTAACTATTTTCTTTTATCTTTCCCTTTTTATTTTGGTAATTCTTCCAATCTTGGAGTCTACTCCCTAAAAGACTATCTTCCGGAATATTAAATGGCAGCTTCTGGTTTACTACTTCAGACTTCGGTTTGCCTATAATTTTCTTACCTATATGCAATTACACAAATGAATTTGGCTGAGAGAGATTGCTCTTCTCTCCCAAGTCAGTGACTCAACGAATTAACTAACAGAAGAGGTCACTCTTCCCCCTTACAGTCACCCAAATGCTCTCTCAGTATCCCAGGAATTTAGTCGGGTGGGGTCGCCCCCAGCCCCAAGTCAGAGACTTAGCAATTAGTTAATTTAGCTGAGGGTCGTCACCTTCCCTCCAGGTCAAAGACCTAAGGAACAAAGGAACATGAGAGCCAGGGTCTGGCTGTATGCATACAACTGATCCAATTCTTCACTCTATTTCACTCTATTCACCATGGCCAGCCCAGGGCTTCACACAATCTTATAGCTGCCCTGCCTTTGTTTTCTCCCTTGAGCATCTCTCTTCGAGACCTTACCCAAACGGAGGGAGACTCCCTAAGTCTGGTCTGAGGGTTGCGGGAGAAATCTCCGAGGGTGCCCTGACCCCCGGGGTCTAGATGGTAGTCTGCCTCACAGATGGGTGAAGTCTCGGTGGGATCTCCAAAGCTGTGTGGGACAGCGACCCCAACCCAAATTAAACTCAGAGACTTCTCAAGGTGAAAAGCAAAGGTTACCTTTATTACAATCTCTCTAGATGGCTGTCTGCTAGAGAGACAGCCTAACAGGGAAACAAGTCTCCACTCACCACTCTCCCTTACCCCTTTAACTGGGGATGGGCTTACATTCTAACTGGCAGGTGGGGCTTACATTCTAAGCTTGAAAGTTTCTTCCTATCCCCTTAACGGGGGGGGGGCCTTACATTCCAGGCATGAAATTCAAAGCCAAGGACAAGCGGCTCAGGTTGGGGGTGGGGCAGGGCTTATTCTTTCTGTTAAGTGCTTAAAAACAGGGTCTGAGCAGGGGAGGATTTTGAAAGTAGTGATCAAGAATTATTTGACCCTTTGAGGAGCCTTCACTTCTGAGGGTTCATTTCTCACACTACCTTCTGAGCTCATTACCTTAATTACACTGAGAGGTCTTCACTGGGACATCCCATTCATATTGGAGGTAAAATAAAACAAAATATGAAACAAAGAAAAACCAAAATGAGATTTTAAATGTCATACTGAAAAGAAATTAAATTAATAGGTACAAGTACATTTGAAATTAAACAACTGAGGCATAAAAATACAAAAAAAGTGAGTGAAACAATAGTCCCAGCCAGCATCAACAAAATTTATACTAGGCACCAATTCAAACTCAAAAAACCGTCACTAAGAATTTTAAGCAAAAATCAAATTAAAATGACCTTTCAAAATTAATTTTAAAAATAAATTCTAATAACATAATGTCCTTTTGAGAAATTAAATTTAAAATTAGGATAAAATTCCATTTATAGCCTTTCATGGGGAGGTGGGAGTGGCTCCCATTTGTAAGTAAACAGTTGCATAGTCCCCACCAGCCACTGAAAAGACCACTGAGGTTCAGGGGACTACAAGCTCCTTCCTGCAAAAGAGTAGCCAATCACCCACTTCCCAGATTAGCTCACTTTTGCCTCAAGGGCCTACCTTTATTAGGTCTATGGCCATATATTATTCTCTTTTTGCTTAAAGGTTCTCCTATTTGTGGAAACTTGTGCTTGACTAGGGGTGTCATTTCAATATGATTTAAAATAAAGTCAATGTCTCCTCCACATTTCACTCCTTCACTAAGGTGAATACGGAATGTATCTCTTGCCCTCCAGAGAAATCTAAACCTTCTCTCCTAATCTGATGTGCACCTGCATTAATTATAACAGAAGGATTTTGTGGCCAGTGTCTTTTGTTTAACATAAAAGGGAAATTGATAGGTAGATACATAGGTAAATAGAAAGATAGATACATAGATATAGTGCCTTATAAGGCACTAATAAGGGGCTTACCATATGCCCACTGTGCTACAGAACCAAGCAAACAGAATAATCCCTACCTTCAGGAAGCTATCCTAATTGGGGAAGAGAACATAAAGAGGAACTGGAAAACATGGTAAAGAAACACAGGGAGGCATGTGAATGTCCAGAAGCAGGGTAGAAGCCTGGTTCTAGGAAAGATAAGGTGAAAGGTCTCCAATTAGAGCCCCGGATGGTTCCTTAGGGAGGAAGTAAGGATGATGAAAGGATATTGAACAATAAAAGTGGGGTGGGACTGGCAGAGAAAAGTAAGAGAATAATGCATTGGATAGAAAAAGTCAATGGCTTGGGCTGTTAGCTATGGAGGCAGAATCAGCTTTTCCTCACAGGAGGTGATGAGATGCAACTTGGATGAATTTGGCAGTTAATGGGAAACTGATCTCTAGCCTGAAATAAAGACCAGAAAATAGGGAGATGTCTCTTGTGATCCTTATGTTATTTCACAACTGTTGACTCTCAGCTCTTGAGAATTTAAAACTCCAATCACTCTATACGGCAATGTCCAAAGTGTCAGAAGACGTGGGGTAGGGAAGTGGAGAAGAGAGCAGGCATCAGGACATCCGACACTTTGCTCAACCCTGCCTACTCATATTACATGAGATAGAAAATAAACCCTTCTTCTAACTGCTCTTTCCCAAAATTCTATAACATATAAAGTCCTAGAAAGACAAGTTCAAAAAATATCAGCAGTTGGTACTTGGGTTACTTGGATAACATCTGCTTGACTCTCTTGTCTCCATAGCAGTGATAACTGGGCTAGGAGTCCAGGACCTCAGGCTACATTCAATACTACAAAAAGTGCTGCTATGAATATTTTCTCAAATATTTTCTACCTTTGACCTCCCTGAGGTATATGTCTAGCAAAGAGATTTCTGGGCTAAAGGGTATGCTCATTTTCCTGACTTTTTTTAAAAAGCATAATCAATAAATCAAGTATTTATTAAGTGCTCACTAAGTTCCAGAGCCATGCTAAGGGCTGAGGACACAAAGATAAAAGTGAAACAGTTCCTGCCCTCAAAGAGCTTGTATTCCAAACATTGCATTCTATACCAACAGAATGGTTGGACCAATTTACAACTCCAGGTTGCACCTGTCTTTCCACAGCACCTCAGTTTCAGTGTTTCAGAGAGACAGAGTTTCCTTCCCAACTTGCGAAGGGTGGGGGGAAGTCTTCCATCCATTTGAATTGGGCAGGATTATGCTGACCTGAATGACAAACTAGTAATTTTGAGCACCTCGGTGGCAAAGTGGATAGAGTGTTGTCCCTGGAGTCAGGAGGACCTGAGTGCAAATCCTGCCTTAGAAATTAGCTCTGTGACCCTGGACAAGTCAGTTAACTCTGTTTGTCCCAGTTTCCTCATCTGTAAAATGAGCTGGAGAAGGAAATGGCAAATCACTCCAGTACCTCTGCCAAGAAAATCCCAAATGAGATCACAAAAAGTCAAAAAACAAAAAAAACAAAAAAAACCCCAACCCATTATTGAACAAAAACAAAATGCTGACCTGGGATGTTGAAACTGGTCACCAAAAGGGACCTTAAAGAGGTGAACAGGGCTATTAATGGAGATGTTGACCTTCTCCCTCCACTCCCCCAGCCAAGAGAACCATTGGGATGGGTGCTCAAAAGATCAAGAAGAGAAGCAGCCAAAAATTCCTTTAAGAACTGAGGGAAAGTGCCAAAAGGTTTAAATTTCCCCTCCTCAACTTTGTCCCCTTGCTGTAGCTATGCTAACAGACACTGCAAAAAAAATCATTTATTGTTATTCTTTTTAAATTTCTAATTCTGATTTCCTTTCTCTTTACATAAGGCCTATGCTCCATCATTAAAGCTCCGTACTGCATTGTCTATATATTGATGGCATCCAGAGAGAGTACAAATGAGGCAACTAGAAAGTAGCTACCTGAATATATAGTTTTTATAAATCGAAGATTCTTTAGTGACTTCCTGAGCACATAGACTTTTATAAACTGAAGCTTATTTGGTCTGGTGACCAGAGATGGTATGGGCTTTTGGTGAACTGTTAGGCTTTTTATTAATAATCTGTATCTTAAAAGGTTAGAAAAAGCTAACTTCCCAAAGACAAGAGTGTAAACTGGATCAAGACTTTGATTTTGCTTCTGCAAGTCAATGCCTGCAGCAGGCTAGTACACTAATAAGAACTCAAACGGCTGAGACTAATTGCCACCTTCAAAAACACCCTGACCCTCACTGGCGATACCCAAGGGAGACGACCAAAGGGAAGGCTCCACCCCCAAGCCCAGCCTCAAGGGCAGAGGCGGACACGTGCCAAGAGATTCTGCCCCGCCCCTTTCTGTTGGGAGGGGGAAAGTCCTCCTCAGCCAAACCCTACGCTCCACGACAACACCTGCTGTCTACATAGATTTGCGTTAGTTCCCAAGAGATCTTGGATATCAAAACCTTATCAGAGGTATTTTATGCAAAGATGTTTTTCCCTTCGAAAGAGGGCTTCCCCTGCTAGAAGAAACTATTTTTATGTGCCCACTTCCTGGGAACTACACTTATCACGCCCACCAGTCAAAGTGATTTCCCCAGGAGTGAGAATTGCACGCATGCGCCATCTAAGCGAGGCGGGGAGGGGGGAGGAGTGCGCGCAGGCGCTGTCCCAGCGCCATTTGCTGCACAGTGGGCAGGCGAGCGGCGGACGACGGACGGAAGTGGGTGTGCCCGAGACGGTGGCCGAGGAGGACCGCTCCGGAAAGGGCCGATGGAGTGAGGGGCGCAGACCGGCGGGGATCGGGAATTTCCGAGGCCGGTCCATCTCGGAGCGGCAATGATTCCCCCACAGGAGGCGTCCGTGCGGCGGCGGGAGATAGAGGACAAATTGAAGCAGGTGAGGCCGAGGTGACGGGAGGAAGGACGGTATGGGGGATGGAAGAAGTATTGAGGGGCGCGGAGGTGGGGAAGATCCCGGGGAGAAGGAATGGGAGGCGGGCGGGAGCGGTGACAGCCCGGACCCGCGGCCGAGGGGGCGGTGGAATCCCCCCCGGCCCCGCCTGCCCACTCCGCGGGGTGACTAATGGCCGTCCATCCCGCAGGAGGAGGAGACGCTCTCCTTCATCCGAGACAGCCTGGAGAAGAGCGACCAGCTCACCAAGAACATGGTGAGTGTGTGGTGCGGTCCTGGAGGCCCCCCAGAGGCTGTGGCCCCCCCGACCCTGTCCAGTCAGCCACCCAGGAAGCCTTTATCAAGCATCTGCTATGTGCCAGGCACCATGCTAAACGCTGGGGATGCAGAAAGAGGCCAAAGACAGTGCCTGCCCTTGAGGCGCTTACAGTGTAACGCGAGACACATCGTGCAAACAAATCTATGTAGGATAAAATAAAGTATATGTGATTACAGAGAACCTGGTGGATTATATGGCCCAGGGGTGTTTATGTGGCCTCAGCTTCCCCCTCAATAACCTGAGGGGGTTGGACTTGTTGATCTCTAAGGCCTCTGGCAGTTTTGGCATTCTGTGCTCCCTATAATTGCATAATTTCTCTGATTCTGTAATTTCTTCTAATTTTTGGTTCTGTTGGGGTTGGTACCACTACTGTCTGGTTGCAGAGTTTTCAGTTTACCCAACCCCTCCTACCTGCTCCACCTCTTGGGTTAGTACCCAGAAACTGGTAATATCACTCTTTCTTAGGTGATGTCTCACTTACTAGTTCCTTGTTAGGTATCCTGAATAAACACTGATTGGGCATCCACCTGCTTATTACACTTTGTACCAAGAGTTGTAGAATGTGGGGAAGAGGTGGCTTCTACCCTCAGTGAGCTTGTTTTCTAAAAAGGAGACAAGATGGGCACAAGAATGAATAGATTTATCTATGATTGTATGCATATACTGATATGCACTTCAGCAAGAGGATGGTAATAAAGGTACAATATGGGTGTAAAAGCAATAACTATATAGTTCTCTACCTCCCATTTTAGTTTAGACATTTATTAAGCACCTATTGTGTACAAGGCCTTCTGCTAGGTAGTGGAGATACAAAAACTAAGGGAAACTGCCTACCTTCAAGAAGCTACCAAGTGGCTGATGAGCAGGTGGATTTCAGAAAAACCTGGAAATATTTAGGTGAACTGATTGATGCTGAGTGAAGTGAGCAGAGCCAGGAGAACGCTCTGTATAGCAACAGCAACGTTGTGCAATGATTAATTATGGTAGACTTAGCTCTTCTCATCAGTAGTGATCCAAGACAATTCCAAAAGAGTTGTGATGGAAAAGGCTAAGCACAACCAGAAAAAGAACTGTGAAATCTGAATGCAGATGGAAGCATATCATTTTCACTTTTTTTTCTTTCTGTGGTTTTTCCTTTTTGTTCTGATTCTTCTTTCACAACGTGACTAATGTGGAAATATGTTTAACTTGATTGTACATATATAACCTAGAAAAAAAGCTACCAAATGATAGAGTATGTGTACATAAAAGATAATTTGAAGAGACAACATATTGACAGTTGGAGAAATGAAAGGAAGCTTCATAGAGGGAAAAGGCACTGAGCGGATCTTTGAGGGAAGATGAATTTTGAGAGGCAGAGTTGAAGTGGAAGTATATACTAGGTATGGGGCATGGCTTGTGCAAATTGGTGGAGACAAAGTATGGAATACCTAATTAAGGTAGATAATGCGCTTATTAAGCACTTGCTACGTGCCAGGCAATTAAGGGAACAGTCTAGCATGCTAAGAACGTAAATATGTGAAGGGGAATAATATAAAATGAAGTTACAAAGTTACAAAATAGACTACGGAAAAATTTAAATTTTAGGAAATTGTATTTTATTCTAGAGGCAATATGGAGCCACTGAAATTTTTGAGCAGGAGAGGGATGTGGATGTACCTGTTCCTTAGAAGGATTATTTTGGCAGCTCTGTTGAAGGATTGGAGACAAGAGAAACTAGAAGTTGGGAAACCAATTAGGAGGCTGTTATAATAATAGTTTGAGCAAATACTGAGAGCCTGAACTAGGGTGAAAGTGTGAATGGAAAGAAGAAAGATGTAAGCTACATTTTGAAGGCAGAATTAACAGGACTAGGCAACTGATTAAAATTTGTGGGGAAGGAGATGAGGGAGAGGGAAAAGTCCAGGATAACTCCAAAGTTACAATCCTGTGTGACTAGGAGGATGGCCAGACTTTCACCAAAAATAGGGAAGTTTGGAGAGGCAGATTAAGAAGGAAAGAGGAAAACCTTACTTTCATTGGTGTGAGCAATCACTTTACCTGTGCAAATCACAACCTCTACATCTCCTGGTACAGTTTCATGAGTTGCTAGGGCCAAAAAACTCATCCCTTAATAACCAAACATTTGGTGATGAACTTCTCTGAACTTAACTAGACTGGTTCTCAGATGATATTTTGTCACTGATTCAGGGTCCCAAATGGTGGAACCTACCAGAGTTTGCTTTTCATTCCAGCAGACTTCAGGATTCCAGGGTTCCCAACACAGCATGATGAGGCATTGGAGCAGAGCTTTAGTGAAAGAATATCTATGTGGGGGCGGCTAGGTGGCACAGTGGATAGAGCACCAGCCCTGGAGTCAGGAGGGCCTGAGTTCAAATCTAGGCTCAGATACTTGACACTTCCTAGCTGTGTGACCTTGGGCAAGTCACTTAACCCCAATTGCCTTAAAAAACAAACAAAGAATATTTATGTGTGCATAGTTATTTATGATAACCATACACATGTTTAGCAAGAGGCAGTGGAGTGTGATGGATAGAGAGCTGGGATTGAAACTGAGAAGACCTATGATGTGTTGCAAGTCACTCAACCTCTCAGTGTTCTAGACCAGCACTTCTTAAACTGTGGGTCACGACCCCATATGAGATTGTGAAAAATTTGATAATAGTACAGGGCTTCTGAATGCGAAACGACTGAAAACTAATTAAAAATCAACCTTGTGATGAATTCGAGGTGGTTCTGGCAGCGCTCCTCCACGTTTCATAGAGCAACTTCACTGCAGCCCTGGTTCTGAACACAAAGCGTGTACACGTTGCACTTCGCATGCTCTCAGGCCCTGAACACCAAGAAACTCTGCCTAAATGGAAGAGGGATCGAGAGTGGGGAAAGTTTAAGAAGCTCTGATCTAGACAACTCTCTTAAGACTGTAAATTGCAGAAAAGATGCTGATCTATATTGGTAGAGGGAGTTTCCTCACCTTGGTCTTCCCATGCCTGGCATGTACATAGTAGACACTTGACAAATATTTTTTGACTGACTTGACTTATTCCTGTACATATGTACAGACATCCATATTTCACGTAGGTAGAAGCAGAGAGTGGCTTTTGGAAAATTACCAGGACATCTGGAGCAAATGGTTTATGGGGCAACCTTCTGTTCAATCCAAACAGGCCTCATAGAGGAGGGGAAATTAAAGTGAGTTTAAAGGATGGAAGAGAAGTTATTCCAGCAATAGGAGACAGCTTCTGCAGGTGCTTGAAGAGAATAAAAAGTACATAAAGGAGTTGGGCTTGCTGTTACTGAAACAGATGCTGTAGGTAAAGAAGAAGGAAGTGGAGGTCTTAAATTAGGAAAGGGAAACTGTCAGAGAGCCTTAAAAACTACAAAGGATTTAGAGCTAGAGGAGATCTTAGAGATTATCTAGTCCAGTCCCTTCATTTTATAGAAAAGTGAAGTAGGTCATTTGTCCAAGGTCACAGAAAGCTCGGTTTCAAACTTAAATCTTATGGTTCCAAATTCAGCATTTTTCTACTAGATTGCTCTCATATTGCCTGTGGTCTTAAATCAAGCCAGTCTGCTAATACTTGTTTTGCCAACCTCCTGGGGTTGTTGTGAAGACAGTGCTGTATAAACTTTGAAGCACCGTAAGCCATGACCAGGCTCCAAGTTTCCTCCTTTCTTGCAGGTTTCAATCCTATCATCTTTTGAGAGCCGGCTTATGAAGCTAGAGAACTCCATCATCCCTGTGCATAAGCAAACAGAGAACCTACAGCGATTACAAGAGAATGTGGAGAAGACTTTGTCCTGTCTAGACCATGTCATCAGCTATTACCATGTGGCCAGTGACACGGAGAAGATAATTAGGGAAGGGTGAGCCAAGCCCAGCTTTCCACACCGTTATTCCTACCTGGACCAGAGAATCTAGGCCATGTGGTGGGGGTATCTACAATATTGATTCCCTTCTCAGAACATGACATCTTGAATCCCCTTACTCTTAAACCCAGCAGAGCACAGGCCTTCCTGGTTTGTTGCAGGAACTCCTGAGTATCAAGGATTGCTAAGTGTTATGAGTTGTCCACAGCCGCTCTCCCCAGTTGACCGGGGCCCTTTTCTTTTATAGCCCCACAGGAAGGCTTGAGGAGTACCTGGGATGCATGGCCAAAATCCAGAAGGCAGTGGAGTACTTTCAGGACAACAACCCTGACAGCCCAGAGCTGAACCGTGTGGTAAGGGGGCTTCTCTTTGCTCAGTCCACTAGTATTGTTCAAGAAACATGAGAAGAAATAGTCTTTGCTTTTGAGGGTTTATGATCAAATATGGAGAGTGTAATCAGCCATGCCCAGCTGTTCCCATCCAGAACCAGCATAACTACCAACATTTGAACCTGTTAATCACTAATTTATGTGCGCCAGGTTATACCCAAGTGGAAAATGATTGGTGTGTCCCAGAACTAGGCTGGGATTGATTTGGAAACATTTCCTGGAGGACATGAATTTGAGGAAAGTAAAAACTGTAGAAAAGAGTGAAAATCGCATTTTAGAAAGCATTAATTAATGGTCAGAGGATTGTAGGGCCACAAAGTAAGTTTAAGGTCAGTTAGTCCATCCCCTCATTTTATAGATGAGGAAGCAGGCCCAAATGGCTTACTTAAAGTCGTAAAGCTAGTAAGTACCTAAGGCAGCACTTGAGCCCAGATCTTCCTGACTCCAGATGCATCAATCTATCCACTACACTGTGCTGCCTATGAATGGTGTTAGTATTCATTCAACATATGTTTGTTGATCACCAGCAACATGCTAGGTACTGTGCTAAGTGCGGAGCAAAGGCTCGGAAGTTGATAAGGATGAGTTTGTTGATGAGACAGTGAGTGGTTTTAAAGCTAGACTAGCACAAAGAGAAGGTATGAGCCAGAATGTAGCATGTTGAGAGAAGACCTTAAAACCTATAATTAGGAATTGCAGAACTGTGTAGCTTGTCCCTGCTGCTGAGCTGTTTACTTTGCTATTTAGATATATCCATATTTTCATCGGTGTCGATTCTTCTCACCCCAGCTCCATGTCATTTTTTTTTCCTTAAAAAAATACAATAGACCGAGAAGCTAGGACTAGAGAACTGTATCTTCTCTTCCCAAACAGGAAGTTCCTGCATGAGAAATGAGGGTATCAGATGCAGAAGTAAATAAAAATTTTAAGTGTCAGTCAAGGGCATGTTTTGATCACAGTATATAGAGTACTGTACCTAGGGGTGGTGACAAGCTGATGAAGCTTCCTTCTAAAGATCTCTAGTTTTATCATTGTAGGCTCTCCCTCCCAGGGTACAGATCACAACCTCCATGTCTTCTGAGTAATTTTTGTCCCTGAAAGAACATGGATTTGAACTCAGGAGACCTGGGTTCTAATCCTGGCTTTGTTATTTTCTATCTGTGTGACTTTGGTTAAGTCATTTAACTTTTCTGGACTTTAGTATACTTATCAATCAGTTGAGGGGAGATTTGGAATAGATCAAGGGTTCTTAACTTTTTGGGGTGTCATAGGCCCTTCTCCTAGTCTAATGAACCGTAGAAGACCCATTCTTGGAATGTTTTGTTGCCATTTGTAATTGAAGGAACTGCAAAATTTTAGTTAGAGGTTAGTGAAAATAAAGATGTAATTTTTTCTCTCATCCAAGTTCACAGACATACACACACATCCTCTTCCCACTTCTAGCCATGAATCTCTGAGGTCTCTTCTGGCTCTGAACCTAAAGTCTTTTCCTCCTTTTGTAAAGTCTTTGTGTGTGCTGTTGAGCAGAGCTGTCAAACTTGTCCCCCCTAAAAAAACAAAGCTCAGATTAAAGTGTAATTGGGAAATGTTTAACAGAATAAAAATACGATAGAAAATAGATAACGCTAATATGTATTTTTTCCAAGGGATACATGGCCACAGAATCCCATTTCTATTTGAGTTTGACACCACTGTCAAGAGTAGCTTCCTCCAGGTCTTGTAGGATTTTGTCAATACTGATACTTAGGTATTGCAGTAGTAGTTTCGGGAGAGGAGAAGTTTTGTAGGAGAAGCATCCCCAAAAAGCAGGAGATTTGGTCCTTGCCCTCGAGGGGCTTCCCAGGAAACAATATCTATCCATTTGTAAGAATATGAATAAAAGAACATAGTGGTGAAAATAAATTTAATACCAGCCAGTGAGAAGATTGAGTCTCTCCTATGTCTGGCTTTTATATGTGAATGGAAACTCTGAGGAGCCATGGAAGAGGGCAGAGTCATTTGGGCAGGTTGGATGTAGGTTTATTTGAGTCAGTTTGAAACTCTCTGCAATGAGTGTGAGAGGAGGGGGAGAGACTTGGATTTGCAGAGTGGTGGGGAAGGAATATGAATGGCCTGTGTGAAGGCCTCAGTACAGAGATGAGATTAGCTGGCTTTACCCGTAGGAAATTAAGTATTCTCTTTCCTGTAGAAGTTCCTTTTTGAGCGTGGAAAAGAGTCCCTGGAGTCCGAGTTCCGAAGTTTGATGACTCGGCACAGTAAGGTCATCTCTCCAGTGCTCATTCTGGACCTGATCAGTGGGGAAGATGACATGGAGGCTCAGGAAGACATGACCTTGGAGCATCTCTCTGAGAGTGTGCTCCATGACGTGATTCGAATTTCCCGCTGGCTGGTGGAGTATGGAAGGAACCAGGGTGAGAGAGCCTGTCTGGACCTGCAGAGCTTTCTGCACTGGGAGGGGGGAGGAGGGGGCGGGGCAGGGCAGTGTTTGAAATCACTGGGCTCTGTACCTGGGGCTGTGTGGGCCATCTGAGAAGCAGAAGGCAGCAGGCTGGCCTTGAGAGATTTGGCCATCTGGCCAGGAAGACAGGCAGATGCTGTTTGAAAAAACCCTTAGCAGGGTCCCTAAACACTGTGCCTCTGTTTGCTCTGTCTCTCCTCAGATTTCATGAATGTTTACTATCAGATCCGTTCCAGTCAGCTGGACCGCTCAATCAAGGGCCTGAAAGAGCACTTTCGGAAAAGCAGCTCCTCTTCTGGTGTTCCCTACTCCCCTGCTATTCCCAATAAGAGGAAAGACACACCCACCAAAAAACCGGTCAAAAGGCCAGGTGAGCCCCTATTGTGACTCATCTAAAAGGACAAGGCCTCAACCTCCCTACTCTACCAGGATATGAATTCCTTCTGGAATGGTGCTGGCTAGTAAAGGTGACGTAGCTGCTATGACAACCCTAGGGAGATTGTCTTTGCGGTGGCTTCTAGGTGCCTGAGGAGAAAAGCAGGTGTCTGTTCACCTAAGAAGGAGCAAAAGGATGAAAGCCATCCCCTCCCTCCCGCAGAAGTACTTGGTTTTACGTAAAACTTCTTTAGAGTGGAAGTCGGAAGATCTCTGGGAATCCAGGGAGTCCTAGGAACTCTAAAAGAGAATAGAACAGAACATTAGTTATTGGGCCATCGTCCTGGTTCTCTGTTACCCATCATATGCTTGGTGTTTTTAGGGATGTTTTCCTTTCTGAATCTGGACATCTAGGGAGCTATTGCTCCATGGACATGCTCCTGTGAACAGAGCGTCCTGAGTTCCCCTTGGGGAAGAAGTGGGTTTAACCTTTGGGTTTCATTTTCAGTGTCAGTGCTGTGTCCTGAGGTATTCTAGGGGAAGATAGTTAGGGTAAGGACTAGCACATGGAGTTGCTAGTATCTTAGGTGATCAGTTTACTCTTTTTTTTTTTCCACCTCCCTTTTGTCCTTATCATCCCTGTGTCCAAAGCAGTCTACATTCCTGGGAATCGGTGCTTCTGTGTGTCAGCCACAGCTTTCCAGGCCTTGTCATTTCTGACACAGGAAACTTTTCCTTGAGTGAGATGCTGTTCACACACAGCCCAAGGTGGGGCTGCGACATTTCAGAAGGAGGATTCTGCTGCATCTTTAGGGCCCAAGGAGCCAGATTTCTGTATTTCCTGCCCCTCTGATTACTCCAGAAGGTCAAATGGCCCCCTAGCAATCCCAGAGAGTCCTTCTTATCATTCTCACAGTAGTAAATTTTGGAGTGATAGCAAAACCTCCCATTTATATAGCACGTTTAAGTTTTATAAAATGCTACCCTCACAGTAGCTTTGTGTGTTGTAGGGTTTGTTGGTTAGCCCAAGACTTCAACCCAGCCTTCAGCCTCATTCCTTTTCTTCCACCTTACCCCCATACTGAGTGAGGAACTCAGTCTCACACTTGAGACAGAGAAGACACTTATTCCCCTTCTTCTCCGGAGTTCTACAGTATCTTACCATTGAATCTGAACTAAATAAACTGGCTCATAGCAATGCGCAGGATCTGTGCCCTGGAACTGACGGGAAGGATTTAGGAAGCTGCAGCTTGGTGCTCGAAGCCTGAAGGTCCCTGCTTCCCTCCCCTCCCTCCCATATAACTGTTCCAGGCCAACCCCCTCAGAGCGCCTGCTGCAAACAGTAAAACAGTGTACTGGTGGAGCATTGCAGCCGTGTCTCTGACAGCATTGGAACCAAGTGTCTCATGCAGAGGTCACATCTCCATTCTTTTCCCCACAAAGACTTAGTTGGGGGATATGGAATCTCAGTCCTTTATGTCAATTGTGTCCTTTGCCTGTCCCTGCCTCCCGGCCCCCCGCCCCAGTGTATTTTGTTCTCTCATTCTTTGCCAGACCCTTAGAATGCTGATTTTGCTGATTGTGGACAGCTCTTCATCCTTCTTGGAGACGTACTTTCTCAGGAAGTGGTGACCTGACCCCATTGCCAGAGAGAACATAACCTGCTCTTAGCTTGTAAGCACAAGAGGAGAAACTCTAGATAATGGCCAAGAGCCACGAGTAGACCTCAGGTGGCAGCCTAGCAGCTACTGAATCCCAGGGTTGCAGAAGATCCTGCAGCTCTGAATTGTTCTAAATTGTGAGGAGGGGAACTAGGGAGGTCATGACACAGAACAATCACTAACACCGCCACTTGTGGAACTGTCTACCTGGCGTTAAGAGGAGCTGGAACAAGGAACTTGCCATCTGTTATTGTAGCCTGATAGACTTGGCAGGTGCTCTAATGAGGTCCTGGTTTCCTGGTCCACGCTGATGTGTCAGTTAATTTCCCAATTGGTTGTTTTGCTCCTGGGTGCCAGACTTGATTCTGACTGGCTCATCAGAGTGACTATTTGTTTGGGAGAAGGAGGGGGCAAGGGCAGCAAAGTTCGTCTTTTAATAACTAAGTGTATCGCTGAGATACAAAGAAGAGCTGAGCTGTTCAGAACATCCCTAAAGTGGGGAGTGGCCAGTACCTAGGAGCCTGCTGCAGCAAGCATTTTGATTCCAGAGTAGAGGGTGTCAGGGTTGGCATGGAGGAAGAGCAGTCCCCAGGGGAGAAAGAAGAGAAATATCAAAGAAATAAGAGTTGAGCCTTTCTCCTTCCCCACCTCCTCACGTACACATTTTGTTCAGCAGTTTGCTTTGTTTATTTAAACATTTTATTTGACTTTTCCAAAGTTTTCTTTTTGGAGTGTCTTGTTCACACAGCAATGTCTGACCCAGGAAACTGCTGGCTTCATGATATTGTTTGTGTTGTTTTAACCTGACACTAACTATTGTGTTTTTTTCTTCCCATGCCAAGAATGCATACCCCACTTCTCAGTCCTTTCTCTGTTTCCCATGTTGCGGCTTCTCTTTAGTCCTCTCTTGGCTTCCAGGTTTTTTCCGAGTTCCTTTGGGCAATTTCAGTGACTTGCCCCTCCAGGGAGGCCCATGGCCCATGCTAGATTAGCCTTTGGGCCTCTCTGCCTTCAATCTTGGGCTTTCATCTCCCAACGTTGCTTGGACCCTTTTCACTAACTCCTAGATTCTGCTTCCCTTTTTCTGTTTGAATCTTGAGGACTAGCACTGAGCATGCTCACAGAACCCTCTCTAAACTATGGGGATTAAGCCATGTGTCTGCTGGCTTCAAGTAGAGTTTCCTCCAGGATCTTCAGGAGGGCCTTCCCCGGCAGATCCAGCAGATGGACTCTCTTCTAGCTGTCTGTCTCTACTTTGGACGGGCAGGAGGGCAGGCTCCTCAGTAGCACCTTGTCTCTTCCAGGCACCATGCCTCTTTTGGTTAAAGTGCCACCCAGTGAGTGGAGTCTTGTTCTCTGCCTCTCATGGTGGGGTTCTGCCCAGATTCTCTCCCTCACTTCCTAAGATTTACCCAGCTTCAGGAGGATCTGGCCAGGATCAAGGAACACTTTAAATAATATCTGCTCCTAAGACTTCAGGGACTTGACTTTGGGACAAAGTGTTTCATTTCCCTTATCTCACACCCCTAAGCCACAGGTGCCACCCTGGGAAGTGGCAGGGGCACTCTGGGCATGCTTACTGTTCTCAGGCTGGGTTTTGTGGGCCTTTGGGACTGGTGGAGGGCTGCTGCTGTTTTCTCTCACTCATTTCCTAGGTCTTCTTGTCTCCTCTCTGTGTGACTCTGGTGACAGGGACGATTCGTAAGGCTCAGAACCTTCTGAAACAGTATTCTCAGCATGGTCTAGATGGGAAAAAGGGGGGTTCTAACCTCATTCCTCTGGAAGGTAATCACCCTGTATTTCTGTCTGTTTTCCACCCATTCCTTCACTGTGTATCCTATTCATTTGGTAGGGCAGAGCCTCCGACCGTTCTGGGGCCCCCAACCCTTCCCTGGGTTGTGGAGGTAACCCATCTTTCTGTAGCTATGATCAGAGGGGAGCATGGGGGGGGGAATTGCAGTCTACTGGCATTACACTGGCTTCAGCTGGCATGGTGGCATTTTTCCTGATGCTTGGTCTAGACCTGTCTGGCTGACGGCAGCTCTGCCCTCCCGGAGGACACCCTGTCCCTTCCCTCCCTGTCTGTTCCTGTTTCCTTCTGTTTGAGCTCAAGAAAAAGTTCTCTGCCAGTGGAGCAGCCCTTTCACATTCAGATTGACGGTGCAGCACTAAACTACCCCAGATCCCTTTGGGAAGTGAATGGTAAACAGAGATGAATATGAGCAGACCATTGGGCAGGGCTTCTCTTCCCACTTCCACCTGGTTAGCTGCTCTTAGCAGAACTGGCTCTGTCCTAGAAGTGGGGATCACCTCTGGCAGGGTGACACCGCGAAGGCTTTTGTGCCTGTTGAAACCAGCAGCACCATTATTGGATAGCAGAGAAGTTTTCTCTCACTAGGGGGTAGAGATGAAGAAGCTCACTGAGGCTCAGGGGAGTCAGAGTGCCTCCAGCTTCTCTAGTGTTCTTTTTCCTCGTGCTTGGATTTTCCCTCTTAGCCTCCAGGCTCGGAGTGAAATGGGAAAGATGTAGCTATTAGAGGGGATTCATTGGGGCACTGCTGGTCAGACTTGAAAAGGCTGTTCCAATGGCAATTTGAGACATAGGAGGGGCTCAGAGCCTTCTCCCAAGTCTCCCTATTCCCCATCCCCCTATCAAGTATTGCTCTGCTGGAGACTGAGGGGTTCCTACCCCTAAGAGACAGCCCACTCAGTCCCCTGGATAAACCGCTGCTTGTGTTTGTGCGGCCAACATCTCGCTAGGTCACGAGCATGATTTCCGAGTTAAGCATCTGTCCGAGGCCCTGAACGACAAGCACGGGCCACTGGCCGGTGAGTACTGTGGCATAACCCCGTAACCAGCTGCCGACGGCTTCCTTTGCAGCATCTCCCACTGTGGGGCCAACATCTCGGCTGAACCCCTTGGCTTTTGGTGGCCGCTGTCCTACGTTATCCTCTCTCTTTGGCCATAGTTCTTGTTTGCCACCCTCCAGATGGGGGTACCGCTGCCTCAGGAGAGTGGAAAGACACCTCTCAGTGACCAGGGATGGAGATGGAGAAGAAGCCAGAGCTGCAGGGAGGCTGGGCGGCAGGAACAGAGCAGGATGACAGCTGCTCTCCACCAGACCATAGCCCCTTGGCTCTGGCAGCAGCCCTAGCCCTGAATCCCATGAACTGCTGCCTCCCCCTCCCAGCTCTGAGTGCCCAGGGCTTCTCCCAGGCCATGTTGTTGTTGTTCTTGCTGGCTGCTAATATTGGGACCCCTTCTTTTCTCCCTTGGGGTGCTGGCTTCAAGGGATCCCTCCCTCTTCATCATATTTGGATGGAGGGCAGAGCTAATGTATTTTCTCAGGTTTTGGCCACCAGACCACTTGGCTCACTGGGGACAATATGTTTGCCACTGTCTCCATACCTTCTAGTGGTGTTGCTGGGGGGAGCCATGCCAGGGTTCTCCCTAAAGCTTGTTCCACTGGTAACTCTGCTATGAGGGGATCAGCCTATGGAAGGAAACACCATTTCTTCAGTAGGAAAAAGGAGCTGTGTTCGGTTCTCCTATAGTGAATGTTGCGACCCTACTATACACCAGGACTTCCTCCTGGCCAAGACTACTCATGGTCCTTAGCACTTGGCAGCTGGGTAGGACCTAGCCTAGCCTTTCTGAGAAAAGAGATTGAGGGATTTCTTCCTCCCTGCACCTTTAAGGGATGTAGATGTTCTGGGTATACACACTTCATTCTGTGGTTAGTTAACAGGAGAAAGATGAGGCTCCCTATTTTCTTTTTGTTCCCCAGTACCCACGTATTTTCCAGATATAGGGGGCAAGCTGGTCTCCATGTTGCTGGTCTGGGCAGGAGGCAGAAGGCCCGGGGGGTAACTCACACTCCAGAGTTAACACTGGGCTGGGAGTGAAGTTGCTTCCCAAGCCAGTGGCTCAGGGATCATGCTATCCCCACAGGGAGGGATGATATGCTGGATATGGAAATTGATGCCTACATCCACTGCGTCAGTGCCTTTGTCAAGTTGGCACAGAGCGAGTACCAGCTGCTGACGGATATCATCCCTGAGCACCATCAAAAAAAGACCTTTGACTCCCTTATCCAGGTCCTAACTTTGCTTCTACATGAATTCTCTGGGTCCCTGCTCACCAGTCTCATTCATATCTGCTTATACTCAGAGCTATGTCTAGATTTTCTGAAGCTTGTAATGGGGTTGTTTTTCATAGCCCTCTTTACCCAGACATCATTGAGCCCCCAGAAAACCTGTGTTGTATTCTGTACTTTCCATGTCTTGAAAGTATGGTACCCAAGCCCCACCCCCCATAGGACATGCCCCACCTCCCACTTTCCCCTTTGTCTCCTTCCCACCTGGATGCCTGTCTTTCTCCACTGAGCTCTGCTGAATTGCCTCCCTCTGACCCCTTCCTCTTAGGATGCATTGGATGGACTGATGATGGAGGGGGAGAACATTGTGTCAGTTGCCCGGAAGGCTATTATCCGACATGACTACTCAGCTGTGCTCACGGTCTTCCCCATCCTACGGCACCTCAAGCAAACCAAGCCCGAGTTTGACCAAGTACTTCAGGTATGTGGCAAGGAGGTGATTATGAGGCAAGGAAGGTGGAGATGTTACACTCAGCCTCAGTTTTGCCATCCCCATATTTCTTTTCCCTCAAGCCTCCTCCATATAAATCAATCTGTAAGCCAAGTCAGCAAGCATATATTAAGCACCTGCTGTGTGCTCGTCTGGGGAGACAAAGAAAGGAAAAAAAAAAACCACCCAGTCCCAGCTCTCAAGGAGCTCACAGTCTAATGGGTAACACAACATAAAAACAACTGTATACAAACAAGACAATACAGGATGAGTTGGGGGTCATCTTAGAAGGAAGGCACTAACGTGAAGGAGGGCTGGGAAAGTCTTCTTGCAGAAGATGGGACTTTAGTTGAGACCTGAAAAAAGCCAGGGAGGCCTTCCTGGAGATAGAGATGAGCATGGGAAACAGCCAGGGAAAACACTCAGGTCAGTAGAGGGAGTGTCCTGTGTGGGGAAGAGCCAGGATCATCATCACCAGATCAAAGAGGATGTGAAGGGGAGGAAGGTATAAGAAGATGCCCCTTGGAATCTCTTCTTTTGGTCATGTGTGTCCCTCCCCTGCCATGAGGCCTTTCCTGATCCCCCATTTGTTAGCACTCCACTCCCATCCCCACACCCCACAAAAAACTTTGTATTCATTTTATATATTTTTTGCATTGACTTGTGTCTGCACATGTTTTTCCCCACCCCAATAGAATATAAGCTTCTTGAGGGCAGGGACTATTTTCTTTTTAATCTTTGTATCCCTAGAGCCTAGCACACAGTGCCTGGCACATGGACACATAATAAATGTTTGTTATAGCAGTTAGAACTTGAAGGTTTATTAAAAAAAAAAAGCACCTCATAGATGTCATCATTTGATCCTCCCAACAGCTCTCTAAGGGCAAGTAGCAAAAGTTTTACTACCCCATTTTACAGATGAAGAATCTGAGGCTCAGAGTAGTTAACTTGTCCAAGGTAATACCATTACTTGAGTGACAGAGCTGGGATTTGAACCCAGGTCTCCTGATTCTAAATCTAGAATTCTTGTCATTCTACCAACCCAACCATTTCCCCATTCTCCAGTCCACTTTTCAGCTTTCCAGCTAGGGACCAGCCCCCACCCATCTTTTACATGGCCCTGGGCAAGTGGGAGCAGGTAGCCTGTTGTCAGTGCAGAAATGGAAAGTGCATATGCCTTCCTAGCCCAGAGGGAGTGAGAATGGATCTGGGAGTCTTCTGCTGGGCCAGTCCTCCAGAGAACTGCCGGGAGGGAGGGAGGCATGCTCAGCTGCTGGAGGGCAGTGGGCTCTTTCTGATTGTCCAGAGTATCCCCATAGGGCACCGCTGCCAGCACCAAGAACAAGCTGCCAGGACTCATTACTTCAATGGAGACCACTGGTGCCAAAGCCCTGGAGGACTTTGCTGATAACATCAAGGTACCTTTTCTTCTAGACCAGGGCAGAAGCCATGAGTGGGGAGTTGGCTGAGGACATCTGAATGACCTGGTATGAAGACAGTTCAGCTAAGCTCAAAGTTGCAGGAGAAATATGGTCACAGAATTAGATGAAGGCAGAGGGAGATGGGGTTCTGTGCTTCCAGTTTGGGACATACCGCCACATGCTTTCCTTTTTTTCTCAGGACTGGCTTCCAGATCCCTTTTGGGACTGAGAAGTGCTTGTCTAACATTTCCCTGCCTTTCTTCCTTGTTATCAGGGCCTCAGCTTGAGGAATTGGGGTGGACTTTCCCAGCTCCTGCAGGCCTGGTCACCATCTGCCAGTAGGCCCGAGGAAGTGGGAGGGGGAGGGAGAGACCTCCAAGGTAGAAAATCGCTATGGGAAGCCATCCAAAGAGGCCTCAGTCACTCGTGTAATTGCGTGGTGGAATTCTTTTTTCCACAGAATGACCCAGACAAGGAGTACAATATGCCCAAGGATGGCACTGTGCACGAGCTCACAAGCAATGTAGGTGCTGCTGGGATGACTTTTGTGGTTGGGAATGAATGGATTATAAGAAACATCAAGGCCGAGTCTAATCCTAGGGCTTCCTGAACATTTGGCTTGGTGGGTCCTGCCTTTGTGCCTCCTAAGTGTTGGGCAGGTTTGGGGATGGGCAGCAGTTGTTCTTACAGCCCTTAAACGGACAGCGTCCCTTTGCATGGCGAGCCACAGAGTGTGTCATTTAAATCTCTGCAGTCTATGCCTTTCTTAAGGGAGAGGGACCCTGGGCTTTATAGGCTTATGCCAATACTCATCTTCATTAGTCTTGTGAGGGGGGCAGTAACTGTCCTTCTCCTGGGCATGGGGGATGAAGTAGATAGGCAGTTGGTATTTTTAAACCTATTAGTCCAGCTCTTATTTCTGACCCCATTCTCTGTCCACTTAGGCCATCCTCTTCCTTCAGCAGCTTCTAGACTTCCAGGAAACAGCTGGTGCCATGCTAGCCTCACAAGGTACCATTCTCACTCCTCATTCACAGCCTTCCGGCTGGTCACACCTCCCTCTGGGCACTCTTGGCCTCAGGTTCCATCCACCAGGAAGTGTTCATCTCTAGGCCTAGACAGCTCTGGGTGGAGGGCAAGGGCAAGGGGAGTGGTTTCTCTGTAGCTACATTAATATGAAAAATTCTGAGAGTCCCAGTCAAGCAATTCTAATAGAGATTGCAAAGCCAGAAGAGCTTGGGAGATTGTGGATAGAGAGATGTGACTAAGTGTTCTGTCCTGACATTCCTTTAACTTTCTTGGCTTTTAGCACATGTCCCCAGGAGGGTTTCATATGGTCCCACCTGCCTTCATGTTTTTCCACCTCTTCTCCTTTTCCCTCTGTCTTGTCCACCTGTTCTGCTTGTAACAGCTTCAGACAGTTTGTCTTTTCAGTGTCTAAGGACATGGGCTTCCTCAGCTTCTATTTCCAGGTCCTCCAAGCCAGAACCAGGCTAAAGTCCTGTCATGATAGGCCCAGGGCTTGGGAGGCAGGAGCGGGGTGGAGCTTTTGGGAGGTCATCAGAGCCTAGTGAGTGTGTCCCCCAGGTGTTCCTCTATTCTCCCTCTTCTGGGAGTGGAGGTGTGCAAAGTTCCATTTTATTTCCTGGGTTGCAGAGAGCTCATTCTGACCTGTGTGTGCTCAGGCTTTCTCGGGGTAATGAATGTCTGCTTGCTTCTGGATGAGATCGCTGTTTCTAACCTATTTTTTTGCACTTTGCATCTTTCTGTTTTCTCTTTCTTTTCTCCTTGCCTCCTTTTTCTGTCTGCTCTGCCTGTAACTCCGTAGTCCTTGGGGACACATACAATATTCCTTTAGACCCCCGAGGTAAGCAGTGGGGATCTGGCTCCTCATCCCTTCTCCTCCCTGTAGGAGCATTTGGAATTCTGAATTGATCAACAGGGTGGAGTTTGGGGTGGTTTTTGAGGTTGAGGGTGGAAGTTGGAGAGGGAGGCTCTTAGTCGCTTCATGGGAAGTTCTAGACATCGGTCCCTTCTTTCATAGCTGGTTTGGGCTGGAGCTCATCCTGACAGCAACCTTGCTGTCTTTCCCCTGCCCAGTAACTGCACCCACATTCCAGTCTGCCTGTGGCCTCACCACTTCCTTCCCCTACTCTCCTCCTGTCACCTGGACCCTATGATATCTGCAAGAAGACTTGGATGAAGAGGGGGTGTGAGGAAGTCACAATGGGGAGGCAATAAACAGTCTGTTCCTCGATTTTCCCATTGGGATCCAAGACTAGTGGGATGAGTGGGTCTTACCTACTTTGCCTAGAGGAGGGGTGTGGTCTGAAGTTATTTTCATATCCCTGCTTTGCCAGCATTTACACTTATACGTTCTCTGGAGGTACTAGCTTACCTGTTCCTGGGGCTCAGTTCTTTTCCCCACTGTCCCTGATGAAGGGCCCAGCTTAGCAGGGGAAAGTGGGACCAGCTTGATGTCTCCCTTCCTTCCTTTGAAGTTCTTCCCTGGCCCTTGCAAACTGGCAGGTCCATTGTTTGGCAAGCCAGATAGCTCTGTTCTCTGCTGTTCATCGGGATAACTTGTCCAAGGCTTTTCTTTTTACAGAGACAAGTTCCTCTGCCACCAGCTATAACTCTGAATTCAGCAAGCGACTGCTAAGCACCTATATCTGTGAGTGTTCTGTCTGACCTTCCCAGCTTCCGCCAGCTCGTGGGCCCTTGGTCTCACAGGCCTCTCCTTCCCTTGTATACTCTTCACCTGTTCATATAGCCCTTCTAAAGAGGGTTGTACCCCGACTTCTGATTCCAAGGCCTAAAGGAAGCCAGAAAGGTCCTGAAGCCTCAAGTCCCTGGGTCATGATACTCAGTATAGCAAGGTCAGAGATGGAACAGGGAGCAGGGCCATGGTAGCCTCTGACCCTGCTGGGGAATCATGGGCCAGGGTTTGGTTGTGGGTCCCTTGACTCGCTGCTAGACAGGCCCTCCGGGCTTGGCCCCATCCCTTTCTGTGCAGGTAAAGTTCTTGGTAACCTGCAGCTGAACCTGCTCAGCAAGTCCAAGGTGTATGAGGACCCAGCTCTAAGGGCCATTTTCCTGCACAATAACTACAACTACATCCTCAAGTCCCTGGAGAAGTAAGTGTGTCACCACCCCCACTCCCAGGCATCACTCACATGGCTCTGTCCTCCTTGTTCTCATGTCTGGTCCCTTATCTTCCCGAGTTTTTTCTTCTCCTTTAAATAAGGTTTTTGAAGCCTTCTTTACTGTATATACAAGTGAGGAGGAGAAGTATCTACTGGACAGAGCTGACTGTGTTGAAGACTTTTTCTCTTAAATTCTGTACTGGGTCCCCAAAGCTGACTTTAGCTGGCCATTATGACAAGGCTTCATGGGGCAGCAGCTAAAGCAGCCCCTTTGCCCCTTTGCTCCAAAGGTCTGAACTCATCCACCTGGTGGCAGTGACCCAGAAGACAGCTGAGCGCTCATATCGCGATCACATTGAACAGCAGATCCAGACGTACCAGCGCAGGTCAGATGAGTTGGGTCCCCCACCCCCTACTCCACCCCATCCACCTGTTCTGTGCTGTCTTCTCCCATGACTCCTCATGCTCCCTATTCAGCTTTTATCCTAGGGCGGTGTGTGGGAAAACAACATCCACCCTGGGGTGGGGCCTCTCGTCTTTCTCTTACTGTTGCTTGGTTTCATCCCACTTTGGGGATGATACTGGCTTGACCACTGATGCTGAAACCTCAAGGACCATTTTCCCTCTGTAGCCAAATGGACTAATATATTTTGGCTATTCTATTCAGAGCTGAACCTTATTTAAGAATAAAAGTGATTGAAGTAGTTCTGTAAACAGAAATAAATCAGCTAATTAGAATTTTAGAGGGCTGGGATAATTTACAAGTGAAGTGACTAATGAAGTTTAGCAAAAAGTTTATTCATATACAGTTCATATTAAAGTTCAAATACAGTATATATTAAAGGAACTAAGGTAGAGAAACACACACACAGGATGAGAGAGATGAGAAAGAGAAAGACAAAGGGTGGATCAAAGAATCTTCTGAGCCTCTATCTCATTCTCTTCCCTAATTCTGTCTCTCCTTCCTCTTTCACCTTTTCTGTAGGTCTCTTTTTCCCTTTCTTCTCTTCTCTCTCCAATCTTGTGTATCTGTCTACTTTAATTGGCTGTCATTTAGAATTGTATTCTGTAGTATTTGTTGAGCATTTTATGTTCCCTGTTCTTTATAAATACATGGGGAAAAAAGCCCCCCAAATTGCTTTTTGATTTAGTTTGACCCAAGATTAGAGAAAAGAAAGAATGAAAGGAGACCATTCTCCCTCCTATCCACTTCTACCCTTACCTCTCCCCACACACACCTGGTCTAAAGGAAGAAAGAGATTAAGCGCTGTGAGTATGTTTCACCATACCCTTCTCTTGCTCTTATATTCTTGCTCTTGTGTCTTGGCAGCTGGCTAAAGGTAACTGACTACATTTCTGAAAAGAACTTACCTGTATTCCAACCAGGAGTCAAGGTAAGTAGGACAGAAAATGTATGCTGGTCAGAGGTTACATCCAGCTGATATGACACCTTTTGTCTCTGCACAGAAACTCAGAAAGAAGGATTTTTTTTTTGTCTCCACCTCCAAGTTTGAGAGTAAAATGGGCATATGATTGAGGCTGTCTGGTTATACTAGACTTTTTCTCCCAGAAAGAATTCTGGGACAGGTAACTAGAAGCAGCCTGAGTGACCAGTGCCACCCTAGGTATGGCCACGGAGCAGAGGAGTTATACCAACCCTTATTTGACTCATGTTGTGGTACATTCAGAGATGCCTAGGGTCTGCTTAACCTGGATTGGTACATTTTCATTTATTTTTGTTTCTTTTAAATTTTTTATTGCTGTCTTTTGATTGTATGCTTTCACAGTCATCTTCATTTACAAATATACCTTCCCAGCTTCCCTGCCCAGAGAGCCATCACTTGTAATAAGCAATAAAAAAAGAAAGGGGGTAGAAAGCAGTACCTGACTGTACATGCAGTGTTCCATCCCTGTGGTTCCCTGCTTCTGCTAGGCCACACATCACCTTGATCATTTTGCTTGGTTGGGTTTCTCTTGCTCTTTCCACTTACATTGTCATGCTCCTTGTGTAGATGGTTTCCCTGCTCATCTCATTCTGCACCAGTGCATGCTTCTCTCTATTCATCATGTTTGTCATTGCTTACAGTATAGTAATGTTCCATTTTATTTATGTAACATAATTTGATTCTTTATTCCCCAGTTGATGAGCATCTACTTTGTTTCCAGTACTTTGCTGTTACAAAAAAATGCTGCTCTAAATATTTAGGTGTATATTGGATTTTTCTGTCTTTGACCTTCCTGGATCTCTGCTTAGCAACTGGATTTCCAGAATGGATATTTTAGTGACTTTCTTAGTGTAACTCCAAACTCCAGAATGGTTATACTAATTTACAGGTCCACCCTCAATTGCTTTAGTATGCCTGTCTCCACAACCCCTGCAACATTCACTGTTTCCATCTTTGGTCACATTTGTCATTTTGCTGGGTGTGAAGCAAAGCTTCAGTAATTTTGATATACATTTCTTATTAGTGATTTGGAACAACCTTTCCTATGCCAATCATTTGCAGCTGTTCTTTTGAGAACTGTATGTATTGCTTGACCACTTACCGAAGGGAAAGACTCCTGGTCTTATGTATTTGTGTTAGTGCTCTATGTAGTTTGGATATCATACCCTTATCAGAATGTTTCATGCAAAGACTAGTGCATTTTAAAGGGCACCAGCTCTCTTTGTTTGCTCCTGAGAATAAAACAATGTGGTCCCCAATGTTTAGGATGCCCTCTGGTCAATCTCTGGTTCTGGCAGAGCTGGCCAGTGCCTGGTTGGACTTCACATGTCCTGTGGCATGTACCAGACCAGAACGAGAGGAACCTGGGTGACTGTTACAGGATGACATGTTTTGTGATGTATCCTTTGTTTTCATTGCTATAAATTATAACTAAGTAATGGGCCCTAAGAGTTTGCATGAGATAGAAACGTGGACCAAGAAGGGAAGTTGGAGGAACAATTATTTTGGGAGTGATCCTACAGGACAGGGAAAATAATCTGTTTTCACAGTGAAACAAGTTCATCTGTCTTCTCTCTTGTCTGCGTCCCTAGCTCCGGGACAAGGAACGTCAGATGATCAAGGAGCGCTTTAAGGTGAGCTGTGACCCAGACCTCTTTTTTCTCTGCTAGTGCTGCTACATGGACTTGAGCCACATGGTCATTGTCCCATTTCTCAGCTGACTCCTCTCTCTCCACATTCCCTGAAGGGCTTCAATGATGGCCTTGAGGAGCTCTGCAAGATCCAGAAGGCCTGGGCCATCCCGGACACTGAGCAGAGGGACAAGATCCGCCAGGCTCAAAAACACATTGTCAAGGAGAACTATGGGGCCTTCCTGCACAGGTAGGTCTTATTTTTTTTCCTCCCCCTAGCCCCCAGCCTTTCTAGCCGAATCTTTGTGGATATTCTTGCTTAACCCATCCAGCTCGTGTCCCCAACAAAGGGAACAAATAGGGAGACGGGCTGGGATTGGAAAAGCAGTGTCTCTACCTTCCACCCTGGGGCATTTGGTGAGCACACCACCGTGCTGAACCCCAAACCCGGAAATTCCCAGCAGGGAATCCTAAAATCCTAGACTAGGGGGTGGAGCTCTACAGCTGCCCTTTCCCTTTTGATTGTCCTATGCCTGGCCAGGTATGCCAGCGTACCCTTCACCAAGAATCCTGAGAAGTACATCAAGTACCGCGTGGAGCAGGTGGAAGATATGATCGAGCGCCTGTTTGACACATCAGCCTGATTCTGCCCCATGACTCTGGCATCTCCATGGCCCCCAGCAGGCCTTATCCCATTTATCAGACAGATAAACCAGGGTTCACACTGCTCTTCGGCTGAGTGAGTTTGAAGTCCTTTGGGGCAGGGACCTCTCTTTAGAGTTCTCATTCTCCATCTCGTCTTCCTCCTGACAGCCCTGCTTTAATTGGGCCCATGACCCCTCCCTTCCCACCTTGGTACTGTTGACTGTCTCGGGGGGAAGGAGGGAAGAAGGCTGACAAAGGGCAGCAGAGTGCCAGCTGCTTGTTGTGGGCTTTGTGTGAGTGGAGAATGGCCCATCTCCCACTGGCTTAGGTAGAATCCCTGAGCTAAGGGTTCAGATCCTCTTCTCAGCTCTCAGACTCTCGGTGTATATGTGGCTGAGGGGGGAAACCACGTTCATCCTGCCCAGTTGTCCTGTCCTGGAGCTGAGTCAGGAGCATTTAGTGGAAGTGAGAGGGTCATGATCCCCAGCCGAGGCCCTCCACAGCCTTTGGATCAGAAGGAGCTCCCCAACTTTTCCCTTTCCTTAGCAATAAGCATGAAGAGGCGGCAGGTGTCATCCTCACTCTCCACTTCTCTGTTCTCCTCAAATTACCTCTAGTTGCCATAGGCACCCTGGGACATTAGAGGAACCTCACTCACCCCTTCATTCTGTCTGTCAGTGCCATACTGCTTTCCCCCTAGCAAGAGGACATAAAAAGAACCCTTATTTCTCCCCAACCCTGCATTCCATATAGTTGTTCCCCATGTACTTTATGGACTGAACTTCACATTGTGCATGGTGTTCTTCTCGTTGCCATAATGTAAATATCCCAAGTTTCAGGATCAGGCAGACCACCCGGGCAGTTTGGCCACAGAGGGGTGAGGAGGTGAGGGTGGGAAGAACGGTCAGGCATAGCAAGGATCCCAAGGTTAGTGTGACCACATTAGAAGAGCTCTCCTTTGGGGAGAGAGAAGTCTAGACAAAAGAAGCCACAGAAACTGAGATTTCGAGAGTTAGAGAGGGCAGGCAGGCACAGAGATGCATGACCTACCCACCAATATGGGACAACCTATTTACCCCTGCCATCTGTTTCTAAAACCGCTCTGAATCAGATACTCCACTTCAGTTTCCTTAGATGCTATAGCCAGGTGAGGTCCAGGGCTGACAGAGAAATATGCAGAGGAAAAGCTATGGAGGTCTGTGGGGTACCCCGGCCTCCCGGAGGAGAGCAGTCACAGGAGCATAGGGCTGCACTCGATCTCAGCAGAATGGTTTATTGCTCTAGTCATTTGCATGCTGACAGAGGGAAGGGTTCAGGGATACCCCAGACTAGTGAGTTAAAGAGAGATGACCTTGTCATACAGCCTTGACGTCAGCTTTGGAAATCTAGGCTCAATTTGTCTGGACTCGGTCCTTGAGAATCTTGAATCCAGTTTCTGATGTTACCCCTTTAGAAGTTGGGCTTTCCTCCATAGGGAGCGTCCATAGCGGGAGGCAGGTCAGACTTGCATTCCCACCAGACCCAGACTATGACAAAGATGATTTGACTGCATCCGGTGATGATTACATATGTCAGCAAGAAGATGTGGTCCATAGCCTCAGCCCAAGTCTTCCCTGGCTCCTCAGCTTTCCTCTGGGGCTCTGTGAGAGAAACGCTGAGACTGGAGGCTGCCCTCTGTGTGGCAGCACCCTCCCCTGAAACAGAAAGAAGATGTGCAGAAGGGACCAGACTGCTGCTCTCTCAGCCCTGGAATCCTTTTTTTTTTTTTTGGAGGAAGAGGTAGGACTACAGAGTTAAATCACTTTCCAAGAACTAAAATGTGCATATGTGAGTAAAAAATCCCTTCCACAGATGTCCTTCTGAATCTAGGTGTTTGTGCCCAGGCTAGAAAGCCCTCAGCTATTCCTTATTTTAGACAACCTCTTTGGGGAAGCTGGTTTAGGTATTACCCCAAAAATGTGAGTTTATTCTGACGTCCAAGTGCTCTCCCTCTCTAGGCTGAACTGAGCTGTCTAGATGTGGTCTACTTCATTACTAGAAAGAGTAAGCTGTTTTGGGTGGGGTTGGTATTTGTTTCATTTTAAGGGAAACTAAAGGTGCTAGGCTTCTTTCTGCTCAAACTGGGATGGGCTTAAGGACTGCAGCCAGAACAAAGCCACCCCCATGCCTTTATAACTGTTCACAAAATATGCTTCTAAGGCTTCCTTGCTTTCTTTTCATGGTGGGTTGTCTCTGCCTACCTTCAGATCTGGGCCCTGGATTTGCGGTGTCTAACCCTTCCTCTCTCGGGGCTAGATTTGGGCTGATCTTCGGGCTGAAGTTGCCTCGAGCCAGCAAGGCAGACATTAACACGGTCTCTATGGTGCTCACGGAGAGTAGTATCAGTAGCGATGTAAAGTAGGAAACTGGAAGGAGGGGAAACAACAGGGTCAAAAGGGGCTAGAAGCTCAAAAACCACTCGGTCCAAGCTGTACCTGACCAAGAAAATTCCCTCTGTAACATCCCCAGTGAGTGTTCATCCAGCCTACCCTTGAATATCATTAGTGAAGGAGAGCCTGCTACCTCCTGAGGCAGCCCATTCACTTCATGGATGGCTCTATTTGTTAGGAAGTGTTTCCTTATATTGAGCTTCAATACGCCTCTGCAATAACCTTCCTTACCTGATGGAGAAGAATCTCTGAGACTGGGAGAGGACAACAAAGGGATCAGTGATGATGCAGTCTCAGATATTCTGGTCCTCAGGGAAATGTTGTTAGATGTGAGAATGAGAAGCCGTGGACAATGGAGTAAGGAAGGAAAGATGCTAACCGTGAGCTGGGAGGCTAAAGAACATGAGATTCCCATACTTGATGAAGGGGCTTACTTAGGAGAGGATTGCAGGAGGAAGAGCTGGGGAGGGTCTGTACCAGAGACGAGTGGAAGACAAGGTAGCTAAGCAGCAGTGTCACTTTGTAAGAGATACGTTCAGTAGTCTTCAGAGGCAGGAGGCTGCCACATATATCTGCCAGGAGTATTGCCACCCCTGGCACTACCAAGGCCATTGTTGTCTTCACAGCCGTGTTCTCTAGACTTAGCTGGAGGAAGGAAAAGTAGTCAGTGCTTTCTGAGAAACTCTAAAGCACCTGCCCCAGGTAAATGGCCCCACTTCCCTCCCCTTAAGCCTTGCTCCTCCCAGGTACTTCAGACCAGTACTGCAGTAAATCCCTGGGAGGGTACACTAAAGGAATGGTTTCTGGTCATTCTGCTTGCCTCCTTTCCCCCACCCTAGCTTGGTGTACTCCTACTCACCGTCAGCTGGAAGCAAGGTGCCACCTGGAAGTGCGGGACCTGGGCTTTTAAGCCTCGAACCATATAGTCCCGCTTCACACTGAAAATCTCATTCACTGCGTGGGGATGAAACTGTAACTCTTGAGCTGTATGGGAGTTGGGAAGAGAAATAGGAAGAAGGGGAAAGGTAAACCAAGAGGAAAGGAATGCCTCATCCCTGGGTACTACTAGGCCCTTGCTTTGGAGGATAGGTCAAGAGTTTGAGAACAGAGGTGGAAAGGATCCAAGGCCATGGACATAAGGAAAAAGCTCTGTGGAGAGTAGGAGTTACTCCACACACAAAAATCACCCAAGTTTTGTAGGGGGATATGTGTAAAATGGGGATGATGATAGCACCTACCTCACAGTGTTGCTGATCCACAGAGATACCATGTAAAATGTTTTGCAAACCTTAAAGTGCTATGTAAATGCTAGCAGCTATTACCATGTTACTATAATTACTTAAAAGGATTTTTTGAGTTCTTCAAGCTATTACAGTCCTTTTGAATGACCATTATGTTACTGTCTTAACTCACAGTACTGGAATAATTTCTAACAGAAAAATTATATTGGAGGTGATTGGTAGGAGTCATTAACCTTCCTCTGTACTCTTCGGTTCCTCTTGACCAAGGCAATGGTCTTTTGTTTGTTTTTCACAGAAATGGGACAGAAAGCATGGAATAGTGGTATCTCGCTAGTATTCTTTAAATTTAAAACCTTGATAGGAAGAAGGGGGACAGAAATGACTGGGAAAATAGTGGAACACAGATAGATTCCAGGCCTGTAGCTAGATGTGGAGCTGACAGAAATATGATTTTGTGACTGGGCCAGCAATCAAATGGAAGGTTAAGGGTAGATTGACATTGGAGAATTAAAAGGGTGAATTGTTTTTAGCTGGGAAGTCTAAGCCAAACCAAAGGAAACACAAATCAAGGGAAATGCTATGCAAAGCTGAATAACTCTAAAAGTAATGGAAAGGAATCAGGGCTGAGTGAAAACAGAATTGGTGCAAGAGTGAATTCTCTTGTACCTCCCGTCCACTTCCGCATACCTGTGTTGCTAAAAGCATGGAAACTGAGGCTGCAGTCACTTTTGTCACTGGGGAAGCGGAGAAGTTCAAAGTCGCAGTTAGTCTTGGTGGTGAGCGAAAGGTAGAGCTCTATGAAACCCTCTCTGCTCACCCGAGCCCGTGGGTTGTGCTCCCTCCAATCTACCCAGAGGCTGTGGAAAGAGGAGCCCAACACCAGGATGCCAGTCCTGCTTCCATCTTGATTCCACCGCTCAAAGAAAGCAACGGGTTGGAAGGTCGGAAAGATCCAGTGGTTTTACTCCTCCCTCCGGCTACTCCTTGGAATTCACAACTGAAATTGTGCTAAGTATAGGTGACAGAGTTAAGGGAAGGCCTTAGGGAGAGAGCCTAGGGAATATGTAAAGTCCAGGGAGTGAACGTGGAGCTTTGGGGAAGAGCCAGGAATCGCCTAGGGCGCATATCCCAATTCACTTACGCCTCTCGGATGGTGAAGTCCGGGGTCCACAGCAAGTGTGACGGCAAAGTGATGAAGCTCCGTGGGTTTGTATCCTCATGCCAGGACAGGCTAGGATCGAGCCACGACTAGAAAAACAGGTGTGAGGCTGAGCTGCCCACCTCCTGCTCTCCTTGAGGCGGCAGAGAGAAGCTCTGTTGCACGCGAAGACAAAGCAAAGTGCCTGGCAGGAAGCCTGCGCTTCTGATTTGCGTTATAAAGTCAATATAGCAACCAGGGTAATTCTTCCCTCCCTTCCTTTCCCTGTTAACTGGTTCTCCTACCCCTTGTTTCCACTCTCACCAGTTTAAGTAGCATGGAGGAGGACACTGTGTACTCCAAGATGTCCTGTTAGGGAGAGGGAGAAAAAAGGCAGCTTAGTCGCCTGGGATGCAAGGAGGCTACCAAGCAAAGTCAGGACACATCCTAGGTTCTGCCCCTTTCCCTCCTAGTGTCACGGCCCCACTCACCACATCGAAGACGTTGGACACAAATACATGCACGTCAATGATCAAGGGCACACTCCCATTATGTGGGATCTGAGGACCGATATCAAGAGCCGAGATCGAGTCCAGGCAGGCAAGAGGCTTCCAGGCTGTGGAAAGGGGAAGAAGAGGACAGTAGTGTGTGTGTGTTGGGTGGGGGGGGGACTTGATAGTATTAATCTGGCCACCTTGAAGTAACAACCCCCCCAAATATCTGATCCCACATTCCTTTCAAGTACCCACCTCAGGATGTTGGGGGCGGGGGAGAGGAACAGGAAGAGGGATGATGGCCCAAGAAAGGATAGTCTAGTTTAGGAGAGGGGCCTTGAAGAAGAGGTACTGAACTTAACCATACCCGACACAAGGAGGAAGAGCTCAAGCAGCAGCTGCAGACTTGCCATCAGGAAGGCTCTGCAAAGGCATGAGAGGGACACGTTTAACCTGATCATTGCGCAGGACTAGAGCTGGGGGACCGAGTCTTGACGCCAATTTGGTCTCCCCTTGCCCCTAGCTCCAAAGCCGCGCTATCTCTTACCGGGGCAGCCAGTAGTGGGGAAAGTCTGGACTGCAGAACAGCCTGCTGCTCAGTGCAAGAGATAAAAACCCCTCCGAGTTTGAGGCTCATCTGTCCTCCCTCAGTTCCGCAAATAGCCGAAAACAAAGCTCAGAGCCTGTCACGCCTGCACCTGTCCCTGTACCTAAACTCCCCAGCTACCCCTTCCTTCCACCTGGGGCCTAATATAACGTTCAGGAACTGAAGCTGGTCTCGGACGCCAGGAGCTCATACCTTTTTTGGCCTCTGCGAATTTGTCCTGGCTCCATGGAGTCACACGGAGAACCCTGGTAGACAAAAAGGTAGCCTGCACTGCTTTGGATGTGGCTTGAGTATTATTGGCAACCCTGCACATACTTCATGTAAACAATTAACGTTCTGAGAGTGGGCATTAGTAGCCAAGGAGGTTGGGAGAGGCCAGGGCAGAAGGCAAGCCTTAGGAGGCTGTTTCTAATCTAGGTTATGTGGTGACGCAGTGCCTTCGTTACGATTACTCATAGCTTTCACTCCAGACCAGCGCAGACTTTGCAGAACTGAGTTTGACATGAAACTCTCCAAACCCTGGAAAGAAAGGGGATTGCTGAAAATGACCTTAAGGGCACGCACAAATCTTGGCCTGAGACTCAATTGGAATCCTAAGTGGATATGTGACCTGCCCAGAGATTCCCCACAATTGGAGGGAAAGGTCGAGGATAGCCAGGACATCCTAATTCAAGCAAGCGCCACCAAGCAGTGTGTATACCTCTCTTACCAATTGACTTAAGCGCACTTAAACACTAGTCCTGCGCATTTGTCCTCAAATAGCTGTATAAGACACAAGTGGTGCGCAAAGACCCGCCGAGTGCCAAAAGTGGCCTCTCCTTACATATCTAGTCCCGCTCTCCCATCCTCAGAGTCCCTACCGTCTCCTAATTTCTTAGGTCACACACAGTTGCTGGCGTCTCAGTTCCAAAGTTCCAGAACCTCATCTGTGAAACAGCAGAAAGTTTTGTTTTGTTTTTTCCAGCAAAACGCAAGGGCGTAATAGGGTGAGGATAGGCAGCCCTCTTTGTAATTCTCCAGATTCCTTTTATACAGTCCCTAAACCCCAGAGGCCCGCTACCCCACGTTGACAATACACAGCATTTCAGGCAGTTTGAGCGTTTTAACTGAACCCCGAAGACCGCCATCTCCCGACTGCTCCAGCCCTTCAACCCCCTCCAAAACGAAATTCTTTTTTTTTCTTTAGTATTTTATTTCCCCCTAGTTACATGTAAAAACAATTTTTAACATTAGTTGTTAAAACAGTTCCAAATTCTCTCCATTTCTTCCTCCCCATCCCATCCCCACCCCCCACCCATTGAGAAGGCAAGCAATTCGATATAGGTTATACATGTGTAGTCATGCAAAACATTTCCATGTTAGTCGTGTTGTGAAAGAAAACAGACCAAAGGGGGAAAAAAAACTCAAGAAAAATAAAGTAAAAAAAGTATGCTTCAATCTGTAGTCAAGTTCTTTCTTTGGAGATGTTCTTTCTTTGGAGCATTTTTCATCGTAAGTCCTTCAGAATTGTCTTGGACATTGTATTGCTGAGAATAGCTAAGTCATCCATAGCTGATCATCTAACAATATTGCTATTACTTTGTACACAGTACATTTCACTTTGCATCAGCTCGTGGTCTGTCTTTGGGACAGAAATGAGAATGTAGAAATGAGTGTGCAGGTTCTATTTTTCCCTTTTACTGTACTTAATCAGAGGCTCCTCACCTTCACATCTGTGACCATGCTGTCCAACCCCCACTCCCAGCCTTTAGCAATACCCTACACTGACTTCACTCTCTCTCCCTTTCCTGGCAAAACGACCTGTTCTACAGGTTCACCTCTCATCTCATTGAAGGAGAGTTTAGTACAGGAGTCTCTACTCTCCAGGATGGACCCGGTAAGGGGCTCAGAACTGATTCCCTCAGAGGAGGATGTTCAGGCACCGGAAGAGTGGGATCCTCCACCTTACAAACGGGGATCATAGCTACGGAGTCGCGAAGCAGCAGGCTGCCCCGGCGAGCGCTTGTTGGGGCGACTCGCACGCGACGGGAAACGAGCTGAGGAGCTCGGCACAGCAGCCCCTCACAGATCTTGCGGAAGCCCTTGCGGAAGTGTTTGGAGACAAGTGCATAGACAATGGGGTTGACGCAGGAGTTGGCATAGGAGACTAGATGGGAGAGAATGCGCAGCACATAACTGGCTCGAGTGAGAGGGAAGTGGCCAAACCAGACCGAGAGGATGAGAGCGTGATGGGGCATCCAACACAGGCAGAAGAGCGCGGCTACGATGATTATCATGTGCGTCACTTTGCGCTTGGAGCGCTTGGATACGGAAAGTGCGGCCACTGGATCAACAGCCCTCCAGAGATAGCGCAGGGTTCGAGCATAGGTCAGGCCAAGCACGAGAACTGGCAGCAGGTAGCTGAAGACAAAGGTGCAGAGATCCATGGTTCGACGTCGCTGTGCGCTCCAGGCGGGATGACACACGGTCAGGTTAGCCAATTCCGACTGACTATAGTAGCTGAGGTAGGGCCCCGAGAAAATCAGCGCCAGTGTCCAGATGAGGCCTATGGCCGCCAACCCATTCCGAGGAGTCCGCAATTCTCGGGAGTGCAGTGGGTAGCGGATAGCCAGATACCTTCGAGGGATAGAGAGAGAAGTCAGTGTAGGGGATTGCTAAAGGCTAGGAGCGGGGGTTGGAGGGCATGGTCATGGATGTGAAGGTGAGGAGCCTCTGATTCGGTACAGTAAATGGGGAAAATAGAACCTGCATTCTCATTTCTATCCCAGAGACAGACCAAGACAGATCCATTCGAGGGCTCAGACCTCTTTATGAATTATTTGAAGGTCCCCTTCGAAGGAATGAACATAATTCCTGGAGAGTCCTGACTGGGACAAATGTCTCTTGTCACCCAATTGTCCCCAAGGCTACAAAAAAGCATTTCCCACCCTGGAAGAGTATAGAATGGGAAATGGAACCCAAGTTCCTATTTGTAGCTCTTCCAACCAACTGACAGAATCCTGAGAAACAAATCCCAGACTCTATGTGCTGTCCCAATTACCGAAATATCTGAGCCAGCCTTCTATGATACGGCAGGCACTCTAAGTCTCGTGAAATTCGTGGAGCCTGGAGCGCTGTTCTAGATGAACCCTTGACTCTCAGCTTTGTGTGATTGAGCTATATACCATGGCAACCAGTGGTTATTTCTAGGAACCTATCCTAAGGACAGTAAAAGACCCGGGAAGAGGGAAGAATATTTGAGCCTAAGACTGTATTTCCTTGTCAAGAACTCCTGGAGCGTCTAGCTCTCTTTCCAATTCTTTTCCCCTTGCTTTGATCCATTTTGCAGATGAGGTCCTAGGTGAGTACGTCTCAGCTTCCCTCCAGGACATAGAGAGAAGAAGACCCTCCGTGCCGCTTCCTTGATTATCCCGGAGCACAGCGCCAGGAAAAAGAACACAGAAACTTGGTGGAGAGCCTGCCCTCTTCTGCTGCGCAATACCTGTGTGGCAACTCGCGTACGGGCTCTCCTGCTGATAGCTCCAGCCAGTCCCGGCCCGAAGGACTCTGCAAAGGGATTCAGGGCCACAGACCAAACTGGAGAATTATGAACAAACTCGAAGTTCACTAGCTGCACTGGAGTTGTGCCTTCTTTTGTATCAACCCTGGGTCTGCCACCTATGGAGACCACTTGGGGTTCTTTAAGCAGCCCAGCTCCTGACTAGGACTCTTGGACCCAGGCCCAGATTCTTATCTTCTCTAAACCTACTCTTTCTGCTCTCGCCTCCTTGCCTCCCTAACTCTGGTCTCTCCATCTTCTTCTGTATTCGCTCTCCTCCCTATTTCTGTTTTTTCCCCGTCAGCCTTTCCACCTTGTCGGTCTTGGTCCCCCACCTACCGCGGGTTTCAGGAGGAAGGGAAGGGTTCTTGAGGAGATCTTCTTTCCCGCTACCCACCCTCAACCCCCTATTACTCACCTATCTAGAGAGACGGTGGCCAGCGTGAAACTGCTGGCGTACATAGTGAGGAAGATGAGAAAGTGTACTGCCTTGCAAAGCAGCGCACCGAACACCCACCCGTCCAAGGTGTAGATGGTCGCCTGGAAGGGCACGCAGCAAACGATGAAACAGAGATCCGCCACACCCAGGTTGAGAATGAACAGATTGGTGGTACTGCTCATTTGGCCGCTGCGCAGCAGCACCGCTAGGACCAGCGAATTACCCACCGTGCCCACGAGGAAGATGAGAGCGAAGAGCACTGGTACGATGATTGCCTCGGGCTGCCAACCCTCCCAGCTACCGCTCATCTCACTGGCGTTTTCCAGGGCAGCCGAGGCATTCACGCTGCAGGGGAAACCTAGAAATGCGTCGACCCCTCGTTCCATTCTGCTCTCTGGTCTGGGGTGACCAGCTATTCCAGCCCCTTCGAGCTAGCTCCGGATCCCAAGTTGTCTCTGCTTCTCACGCAACAACACCTTAACCTCTCCACGGCTCAGCTGCTGCAAAAGCCCTACCGCAGCTCCAGCTGGGGAGAAAAGGATGGAGGCAATCAGGGGGAAAAGCGACTTGGGGGCCGGGGGGGGGAGGAGCAAAGGAAGCTGACTTTGTCCCAGGGGAACTGCAGGCTGAGTGGGAAAGCTGGAAAACCAAGAACGACCCCCGCTCTCCGAGGAGATTTGTCACTGATGGAAACATCCCTACAGAGGGATGTTTCTCACTCCCTCAAGGGAGGTGGATGCCAGTAGGGGTTACTACTGCAGTCAAAGGGCTATGTCCCTTTTCTCCTCCTTCTCCCCATTCAGGGATCTTCAATTGTCAGGAGACGCCAGCCTCAGGTTTTGCTTAGGTTCGAGGGGTTTGCTTCTTATTAATGGTGGCCCAAGGAAAATGCCAGCAGGAAGAAAGTCTGAGCCAACAGAGCAGAAGCTACAAGCCCCTGCCACTATACCACCTCCTCTTGCCTGGGTTGCAAGGGAGTTCTCTCTTGGGTGTTTTGCTTGCTAAGTCTACCTGCAAGAGTCCCTGTCCTCCAGCTCCCAGCAGCTCAAGCCTGAAAAAAAAAATGCCCCTTCATGCAGAATGATTAAAAAGAGACAATAGGAGGCCCCTGGAATTTTTAGTGATCCTAAAGTAAACACCTAAGGAAAGGAGCGAACTATTGCATCAATAGGACAGCTAGGTGGCTCAGTGGATAGGATGTCATGTAATCAGGAAGACCTGAGTTCTAATTTGACCTGCCATACTTACTAGTTGTGTGACCCTGGGTAAGTCATTTTTACCTTTGCCTTAGTTTCCACAAATGTAAATGGGGATCATAATAGCAGTTACCTCAGAGAGTTGGTGTGAAGGTCAAATAAGATAATATTTGTAAAGTGTCTGGCACCTAGTAGGTACTAAATACATGCTAGTTCCCTCTCCCTTAGGTGGGACTTCCTCTTTCTGAATCTGAGCCTGTAAGACAGGGGATGTGGCTCTGGAAATGGGTTTGTTTGTGTGTCCATGTTCATAAGTAGGTGAACTCTTATTAGCTTCTTGTCTGCCTCTCCACTCATCCCAATCACTCTTATCCTTCCTTTTTATTTCTTTAAATGCCACTTGTTTTTCACCTATTTCCTGTGTGTATGTGTGTGTATACACACACACACATTCTCTATACATATATATACATTCTCTATACGTACACATATACATTATATAATTTGTAATACTTTGGTAGGCAAATCACTTCTCTGTGACTCATTTTCTTCATCTGTAAAATAAGAATGTTGGACTAAATTGTGGAAGTCTCTTCTACTTCCTCTCTTCCTGGTTTGGGGAAAATTCCCAGTATTCCCAGGAAATGGGCTGCCTTTAATGACCTAATCATCAAACTACAAACAGCTAGGTGAGAGGCACAGCCACTTTCTGGGTTGCTCCTCTTTAAAGAACCATTAACACTGGGCTCTGAATATTTGTTTCTGATCTCTTGAATATTGGAGCATCAGAAAGTAGTAAGAGGTAGTAGAAAGTTCACTAGTCTTGAAGTCAGTAGATTTGGGTTCAGAGTTTGTAGACAATCTTTATGAGCTTCAACTTCCTCATCTATAAAATGAGGATTTTAAAACTTGCATTGTCCCATTCCCTGATACATTAAGTGGTCAAAGGATACGAACAAACGTTTCTCAAAAGAATTACAAAGTATTTGCAACCAATGAAAGAATGTTCCAAATCACTAACAATGGGAGAAATACTAATCAAAGCAACACACCTTGCCAATGGCAAAAAATGACCAAAAATTGGCAGCAGTCAATGTTGGAGGGGTTGTGGAAGGATGGGCACACTAATACATTATTGGTGGAACTGTGAAATGTTTTGGAAAGTATTTTGCAATTGTGTAAATAAAGTGACTAACAAGTCTATGCTCTTTGAACCAGAGGCTCCATTTACTGGGCTTATACCCCAAAGACTCCATTGATGAGAGAAAGTCTCCATATATCCAAAATATTTAGAGCAACACATTTTGTGATAGCTAAGAACTGTGACATATGAATGTAATGCACTATTATTGTGCTATAAGACATTATATGTAATGAATACAGAGAAGCATGGAAAGACCTATATCAACTGATGCACAGTGATGTAAGCTGAGCAAAGAAAACAATATACATAGTAACTGCAACATTGTAAATAGAAAGAACACTACACACAAAAAAAGCAAAGTGAATGTAAGACAATTATAAAGATCAAGTCGGACTTGAATGAAGAGATATGAGAAGACATCCCCAATCTACCCTTTTGTGGATGTGGGGCTTCCACAGGTGTTATACATTGCACATGTTTTTGGACTTTTTCAATGTATCAATCGGTTCTGCTGGGGGTTTTTTCTCTCTGAAAAATACTACTTATAAGGGACTGCTCTTTGGAAAAGGGAGTGTGTGGAATATTTGGGATAACTGTAGTAATGTAAAACATAAAATATCAATAAAAACTTACAAAAATAAACAAAATATTGTATTGCCTTTCTCACAGTCTGCTGTGAGGAAAAGTGCTTTCTAAACCTTGAAATGATATAACTGTTATTATTACTGTTGTCCTAGTAGATTAGTCTAGCTCTAGTCATTGGCCATTAAATTATTGTGGAATTGACTCAGTGCTCTATATTTCTTTGTTTATCTAAAGCAATGCTTTATTTCTTGTAGCCATGAGAGAAAAATCAGACCATAGATTCCATTAAGAGCTATAGCTAAGTTCTTCTTTGAGTGCATAAAAGGGTGCTCAGTGTGATTAGTCTTACAGCTGAATTGAGAAGATGCAGGATAAATAAGATGATAAAGAATAGAAAGAAAAATAAGAGTAATGCATTGGAACATTCCAGGAAAGAATATAACATATTAAATGGAAAATTAAGCACCATGCTGAGCAGGTACTTTTTATTGTTCTGCCTAAAGGCAGAAAGGATTCTTATAAGAAAAGACAATTTCCCATAGTTCATCAAGTTAACAATGCCTAATTTGCTTATAGCCCTGAATGGGATGTCCCAGTGAAGACTTCTCAGTGTAATTAAGGTAATGAGTTCAGGAGGTGGGATAGGGTTAAGTATAGATTTCTGTAAGATCATCTTTTTTTTTTTTCTTTTCCTGGTGCCAGATATTAGTGGTTGGAATCTGTCTAGTTGTTAAAGCTCTGGCCTTTGACCTTACCCAGATGTGTTTTCTTTTTTGGCTCCCGTTCGTCTACCAGTCCCGGGAAACCCAAAATTCTTCAAGTCCCCTTATCTCCCTTTGACAGGATTTTACTTACATGTCTTCCTGTTCTCAACATTGTCTGTTCAATCCCTAAGACCTTCCAAAACAATTGTAAATTATCTTCCTAACTGCACATTTCTTTTAATTGCTTCTTGGACATTATCTCAACAAACTAAGAAATATAGAGATGTATACTATGTCCTTTGTCCTATGTCAGAGTCTGGCTTGTGAGATTGTGAGCCGAGTTAATGGACAGCTGTGAGGGAGGGGGAGCTGAGTCTTCAGGGTTATATAAGCTGATTTCTACCTCTGTGGGCGGTCTCCCGTCATCAGAGCCTACTGATGGACTGATGGAGGGACACCCAAATCTCGAGATTTGAAATAATAATAATTATAGCTATAATAAATTAGCTTTCTGTTTCTCCTTGTACACCTCCGTGTTTTGTTTTATTTTTAATTTGAGTGGCATCCCATACAGCCCGTTTTTCAGTAATGTCAAGATCTAGAAGTACAACAGAAAGGGAGAGGCTTTCATGTTTCCACATTCCCCCCCCCACCTTTGTGCTGTTAGAACACAAGGATCATCATCGTGAAATTGAAGACTCTTCTCATAATCAATGAGGATGCAAAAGGTATTATCCTTAATTATGGCCAGGTGACTCTTACAGGAGTCAAGGACCATGACGTAGATCTCATTTATTTAAGAGTGATTAAAAATGGTGGTTGCTTGGCACAAAGGCTTCTTTTTTTTTTAATCATGACCAAAAGAACAAAGACAATGATACAGGTAAAGGACATAGATATGATTCCCACTGCCCACTCTCCAATCTCATGGGTGCCTAGCCAACTATCCAAAAAGCAGAAGATACACCTCCTTGTTCAAGGTTATCATGTAACCTATTAACTACGTTTGTATATAGTTAATCTTATTTGTAATGTTTTTAGTATAGTTGAGGATATAAGTGTTGCACCTCCCTAGGTTCATTCTTTCAACCCCCACTCACATTAGCATGTTGGGACTTTAGGGGGTGACTCACTATTCCTCCCTTCAGAATTCTAGGAATAAGTCTGAGGGGCTACTATTGTTCATGAGCCCCCATCTGGTGTATTATTCCCAATATTAATCAACCAGTTGACATCAATTAGCTTATTAGGAATATTTACAAAGAAAGTATAGTATGAAGTGACATTGCAAAAATATTGCTCAAACTGGGATTTGCATCCATGGGGAGAGTGGGTCCAAGTTTAAAGTGGTTGGTCCTAAACATTTCCTCTCCCCATACCTTAGGGATAAGCTCTTCCTCCCTCACAAACACAATATCCCTGAGGAGAGTGGGCTCAAACTTGAAGAACAGCAGTACTGAGACACAGATAGAGGGAATGTATGGGGTGGAAGAGTACCTCATGACTCAGCTCTGGGAGATCTTTTATTCCCTTAAAATTCACTTCTGGCTGTGCTGGTGCTGATAAAGAAGTTGTTCTCTTTTCCAACTAAATATGGTTCCTTGTAGATGCAGTGTCTCTACTGATAGATAGATCTACTTCTGGTTTGGGTCAAGCAGATCTATCTTCAAGGCCAGCTCCTTGATGGGTTCAGCTACTGCTATTATAGTCTCTCTTGGTCTCTGTTACTTACTACAGTTGCTGAGGGAACCTCTGATGGCTCTTTCAACATCTTGAGCCTCACAGCGTCATAATCTGGTCCATTCTATCTTTGGACCACTAAGTGAAGGGACCATTCACTTAAGATCAGGAAAGAATAAACACAAAATAAACAGGCACCATGTATTCAGGGATCCATAGCTTATAGGTGGGGAGATAAGAC